CAGATTACCTCCAGCCCTGGCACCTGTCTGAAGTTGCTGATGGTGGGGGCATTGGGGTTGTGGAGGAGAGCAAGCATAATAAGTTTGCTAAAGGAGATTTTGTAACTTCCTTCAATTGGCCCTGGCAGACAGTGGCCATTCTAGATGGAGGCTTGCTGCAAAAGGTAATGTACATGCAACCCCCGCAAAGCCCAGATTGTCACTGTTTTCTTTTCCTCACTCTATTTTTTATAAATGCAGCTAACGCTAGCTAATACTATTTCTTAGTCAAAACCAAATCAGCACTATTGAAACAAACAGTTCTCAACAGGCACATCAACCCACGTGTGGTGAAATATGGATCAATTTCTCCCTATGTATTTTTACCAAAGAGAAACATGGATGCTTTTGCTGGTCACCAGACATGGCAGTGTTACTCCACTAGTTAAATTTTGGGTAGATTTCCCTCAAGCTGCCTCCGTTCCTATCTTTCTCTCAATCATCCTGATTCTAGATAGAACTCCTGATCCATAGGAGTGTAGTCATAAGACATAAAATGCTTTAGCTATGTTTAAATCAGAAAGCACATGTGAGTGAAAGTCTGTGCTTGAGAATTTCCACCCACAAAAGAAAGGGTAAGCAACATGGAGTGTTTCTGAGGAGAGGTAACAGTACATAGTCCATTAGGTATGCTGTGTTGATCGTCCTCATGTAACACAGAAAATCACTGTAGTTTAGGCTGTACAGCTTTCAAGAGATGTCTTGCTTTAGGACTGTCTGTACAACTGATCCACAATCCCGATGTTTGCTAGCGGTGCTGTTTTATCCTTTAGGCTAGCCCAGAGATAGTTCAGCTTTGTTGGAATTGTCTTCTCTCTCAACCGTGTTGACACGTCCATAATTTTAGTTCTTGAGAGCGCCCTTGTTTACAGACTTTTTAAACACTGTAGAAGTATCATCTCTGTTTCATGTAGCATAGGTTTGTTCTTAAGGTAGAAGTAGTGTAAAGCTAGCTAGTCCTGAGTGGCTTGCACCTTGTCTCGTAAAGATCCTGAGTTAGTCTTATATTGTCAGGCAACCAAATGATAAGCAGCAACACCGCAACGTCAAAAGAAGTGAACAGCAACACCTGTTTTTGTTTTGTAGCTTGTTCCAGAACTTGTAGATGGACGCCTTTCCTACTTTCTTGGGGCGGCTGGTATTATAGGCCTGACTGCCTTATTAGGCATAAGAGAGAAAGGACACGTGACTGCAGGCGCAAACCAGACAATGGTGGTGAGCGGGGCAGCTGGTGCCTGTGGTTCTTTGGCTGGTCAGGTAAGTAGGCTTAAGAGGTACAAAGGTCGCTGTGTTACTAAGTTTGTTTTCTGAAACATGCTGATTAGTAGACATACAGATAAGATCGTTATAAACATAAGCAGGTATGACTTCATGGGAGGGGCCACGTTCAGAGATTTGACTCAGAGTCTCACTGAGAGAGTTTTTAGAAGTGAAAGTTTTAGAAGTTTTGTGAAAGCGGGGTAGGAGAAAGCTGTCCAAGGTGGTGACTACTTGTCGCTAGCATAAGTAAAGTAGATGGTTATAAATACATGGATTTCCTGTATAACTACGTATTAGTCTGCCATTTGATGCAGTCTTTGAGTTGAATGGCAACTTTTATTGTTTTCTATATTAGAACATGGTCAGTAAAAATCATAGAGAACGCTTCTTTGTGTTGGTTTCCGTTACGTTCTTTGTATTTTGAGAGTTGCAGCCTTTTTAGTAAATTGTATTTTTGTTTACCCTCCTCAGCTTTGCAGAACAAGGTAGGGGTAAGTACGTGTGTGTATAAATCTATATGTACATGTATACATCCAAACACAACAGGTAGCGAGCAAGCTTAAGACCTGCCGATAAAGAAGAACTGTGAAGCAACGTTGTGTAAGCAAATCTAAAAAGCATGTATTTAAATCGGTTGTTGTCCAGTCTTTCTGGCCTTTATTGACTATGTTATGGAACTTGGCAGAGGGTGACTTTATCCAGTATAAAACCTGTACATAAAATCTATAGATCTCCAGCACTGCCAGTCATTGGTAATTCTACAGACTAAAACTCCTGCAGTCAGTGAGCTTGGAAAGACAGCAGATTCCCGATGGTTATCTGCCCCTCTGCCTGTGTGTGCGGAGGGAATCTGGAGCTTAGTCAGTAGGATGGGGGATAACTGTAGGACCCTTTAATGTCGCCCTTTTTCCCTCTGGTACCTTTGTGCCTGGGCAGATGAATGATCTAAATTCTATTTCCCCCTCCCCCCCAAACTGTGTTCCTGCAGATTGGCCGCCTGGAGGGCTGCGCTAGAGTGGTGGGCATTGCTGGCACGGATGAGAAGTGCTCCATTTTGGTCTCAGAAATGGGGTTTGATGCGGCTATCAATTACAAGAAGGGGAACGTGGCAGAGGAGCTACGTGAACTCTGCCCGGATGGTGTGGATGTTTACTTTGACAACGTTGGGGGAGACATCAGTAATGCAGTTATAAGTCAGGTGATTATACCAGCTGTCAGATGTATTCTCATCATTCTCCAACGTGTTCCTGCCCAGCTTGGACTAAATTCATACTGAGACCAGCTTGCAGCGCAGCAGAACAGACTTTCCACTTCCGTGGATCTGATCTGGGTGGGCTGATGTGGGTTCTGAGGAAAATTAGTCC